GTTTTTTGGAGCGTTTTTCTAGCAAAAAAAACCCAAAAAACTCTATTAAAATGCTACTGACATCTTTTTCTTTTTTTCCTCAACATGTACTGTAAAAATGCTAATAAAATGGTAACGCTCCTAAATATTCCTGAACGATACTACACCGTGTTCCAAATTATTATGCAAATTCTATTTAAGTGTCACAAAGATTAAATATTTTGTTTTTCAGTTTAACTCATGGATGGCATTGTGTCTCAGGGCTCTTTTGATCACTGAAAACAATCTCGGACACTTGTGATAATTAGATTGGCAGGTGAATCCAATTTAAGGAAAAACTACTAAAGGAGGGTGTTCTACATTATTAAGCAGAGCTCCATTTTCAAGCAATATGGGGAAGAAAAAGCATCTCTCTGCTGCCGAAAAGAGTGAAATAGTTCCATGCCTTGGACGAGGTATGAAAACATTAGATATTTCACGAAAACTTAAGCGTGATCATTGCACTATTAAGAGATTTGTGGCTGATTCAGAGCACAGATGGGTTAGTGCAGACAAAGGCACATTGAGGAAGATTTCTGCCAGATCCATGCATGGATCAAGAGAGCAGCTGCTAAAATACCATTACATAGCAGCAAACAGATATTTGAAGCTGCTGGTGCCTCTGGAGTCCCACAGACATCAAGGTGTAGAGTCCTCCAGAGTCTTGGAACTGTGCATAAACCTTCTATTCGGCCACCACTAACCAATGCTCACAAGCAGAAACGGCTGCATTGGGCAGAAAAATACATGAAGACTAATTTTCAAACAGTCCTGTTCACGGATGAGTGCCGTGCAACCCTGGATGGTCCAGATGGATGGAGTAGTGGATGGTTGGTGGACGGCCACCCTGTTCCAACAAGGCTGCGACATCAGCAAGGCGGTGGTGGAGTCATGTTTTGGGCCGGAATCATGGGAACAGAGCTGGTAGGCCCCTTTAGGGTCCCTGAAGGTGACCTCTGAAAAGTATGTGGAGTTTATGACTGACCACTTTCTTCCCTGGTACAGAAGAACTATGCTTTCTGTAATAAAATCATCTTCATGCATGACAATGCACCACCTCATGCTGCAAAAAATACCTCTGCATCAATGGCCGCTATGGGGATAAAAGGAGAGAAAGTCATGGTGTGGCCTCCATCCTCCCCTGACCTCAATCCTATTGAGAACCTTTGGAGCATCCTCAAGCAAAAGATCTATGAGGGTGGGAGGCAGTTTACATCCAAACGGCAGCTCTGGGAGGCTATTCTGACATCTTACAAACAAATTCAAAAATTCAAGCAGAAACTGTCCAAAACCTCACAAGTTCAATGGATGCAAGACTTGTGAAGCTGCTATCAAATAAGGGGTCCTATGTTACAATGTAACGTGACCTGTTAAAATGTTTAAAAATTTAAAATGTTGTTAAAAGTTTGATTGAAATAGCTTTTGATTTCAGTAAATATGCTGCAAACACAACAAATGACAATTTTCAGTTCTTTTCAACCTATAAAGTGTTTTGAAACTTACTGTGCGTAATAATTTGTAACAGTGCATTGTAAGTTTTTTATGTTTCAAAAAAATACTGTTATCATTAGGAGGTTTGTTCAATAACATTTGAATTGTACTCTTAATAGTTGATAACATGAGAATTATGCTGACTGTTATTTACATCAATTATTTAGGTAAATGAGAAAAATATCATTTCCATAACAATTTGGAATAGGGTGTATATGTTAGATAACAGTACGTGGTCTTGCCATGCAAGAACACTTAATAAGAGACTAGGTCATTAGAGGCTAGGGACATTAGAAGCTACAATCACTATTAGAGGCTAGGTTCACTAATAGAGACGAGGGTCGTTAGAGGCTAGGGCCATAAGGGAATAGAGTCATCAGAGGTTAGGGTCATTACACATGTTCATGCTTAGTAGGTATTCTTAGGTTCTGCTTGTGTGAAGCAGTCTTCAGACAGCACTAAAAATGCCACCCCTCAAAGTGAACCTGACCTGGCCAAAGGTAGCAACAGTGCTGATGTGTTGAACCCTTTTGGTGCTGAAAAAAAGAATCTGTGTTAGTGTTCAAATAAATCTGTGTAGCCCCTTGTACAGGTGCAGACTTTTCAAGGGCCTTTGACTTACCGAAATATAAAGCCCCACTCTTTCTGATGCAAAATCCCACCACAGCACACTCAACTGCGAGGCTTGGTCTGAAGGATACATTTATTTAATTCTGGGCAGAAATTGGGATTCGTGGGCAGGCTGGACTTAAGCCAGCCATAAATGGATCGAATCTCAGGCAGTTCAGCAGAGACCAGCTAAGATTCGATCCATCTATGGACAGGTTGATTGTACCCCAGATCGACTTTGGTACAATCAGCTTGTCAGATTTTTAGCATGCAGATACTGATCGCGGCTATAGCCACTAGCAGTAATCATTGTGTTCTCCCAGCTGGGAAGACTCCCTGCCCACCCCCAAAACACAATAGCTCTGTGGGAGGCAATCCCCCATGAACACTAACTGTGTTGTCAGAGGAATCAAGTGATTATCTTTCCCTCCAACCGTGCTGGAAGGAAAGAAAATCAATTAATCTGTGGCTTGCCTTAGGATCCAATGGTCTACCCAGGGATTGACTTGAAAGCTAACATAGGTACTTACAGGCATTGCAAGGTCCATAGACTGCAGAACTGTCATTACCTTAGAAACACTTTACGCCAGGTCAGCTGTTATCTGATGCCAAGATATCTAGCCTCACACACATTTGCCATCCCTATACCATTTCCCCAATATTCCTGGTCGTATATGAACCTTGTCTCATGCTAGCAATGGAGGTTTCTTGTTATGGGAGATGAGATTGACACCTTGTCTTGGCACAGGATTTGCAAACTCTGTAACTCCACAGTTGATCCAACAGAAACATATAAATACCCAATTTTATGGCATTTAAGTAGTGTTTACATTTGTGGAGGGAGTGCTACAATACACCCAATACCATTTTTCTACATTTCCTATAATGTACTGACATTTTGCTTTGCGCTTTTTTTTGACGATCTTTATTTTCAAGTGTTCCATTTGCTCTAGTTTGTTCGTTATCATGGAGAGGGACAACAATTCTAATATAATTACTACATAAAAATATACATAAATATTTTCTGATGCCTAAAACAAAAATAGAAAATAATCAAGAACTACATATTTTTAATATAAAATATTTTTTTTAAAGTAACAATTCATAATAATATTACTGCATTATAAACTAAATGACTAGCCCTTATCTAGCATGGTCATGGTATAGTGGGTTACAGGCTGTCCTGAATACAGGCTACAAAATCTAATGGAAAACAGGTGCAGAAAGGTACTGTAACAAGTAGTAACCAATCAAATTCCTTGTGTTATTTAGGTGTGTTTTTCACAAATGGAACATGCACTACTGTCATTTAGGAGTCTGTTATGCCTCCAATATCTACTGCCCATCTGCAATAGTTGAATGATACACAGAAGCAGAATGGCTCACATGTTCTATCAACAGCCACTGGAAATGGATCATGTCATCCTTCATCAATTGACATATTGGAGGTCATTTACTAAGATTGCAAGGTGCTAAATCAGGTGCAGCTCTGCATAGAAACCGATCAGCAACCAGGTTTTATTGTCAAAGCTTAATTGAACAAACAGAAGTTAGATGCTAATTGGCTACCATGCACAGCAGCACCAGATTTGGAGTGCTCCAGTTTTAGTAATTCTACCCCATTGGTTGGACAGACATTTCTGAGACTGCTCACATATCCAGTGATAAGTCTATGTAGGGAAGGAGGAATGACAAACTACACATTTTTATCTGTAGAAGAATTTGCAGGCATGCTGAAAATTCTCACTGATCTTTCAGTTCCATATAATCCTGCGCAGGTTCCACTAATGCATTGAAATGCAGTCTTCCACTGGTTTGTCCAGAATGTATATGGAGAATTCTCTTTGGCAGATGGCGCTGCAAACAAATTATTAGATCCAAGCTCAGCCAATCACAGCTATACCAGGGTACCATAAAAGCTGGAAAGATAAGCCAGGAGCTCAAAGCTTGACCTACTCCACCAAAAATGGAAATAACAGCTTCTTGCCAAGAGCAAGTCTGATGACAGTGGTGTTGTCGTCTATCTTGTAGTTGAATACAGTTAGTGCACCACACCCATCTTTAATATTAAGGTGTCAAGGGAGGCAGTGGAACTGGAGAGGACCTGCAGCCTATCAGAATAGAAATATGGCAATAGAAGCTGGCAATGCTGATTTAGGTTTAAAGGGGCAAACTCGGGGGCTGTCATTCTCATGCTTCCTTTCTAATGGCACACCGACTTAAAACAAGCAGATAACCCCTGACTATCATGCCTCCTCCAGTCACTGATGCTCTAAGCAGTGAATCAAAGATGAGGATGGAAGCCCAAACCTGTTCCTTCACAAGCTAGCAAAGGCTGCTTCTATATTTTAAAGTTGCAAGGCTTTGCTTTGGTGTCACTGGTAGACGTAGGTAGCCTAGGGTATACCAACAGCAGACAGGGAGAATGTATCACCCAACTAGTATGGAAATGTCATGGAACACCCAGGAAGGCTCTTCATTCAGTGGCTAGTTAAAGGAAAACCAGCAAATCTCAAGTGGAAGAAGTGAGATGAAAATTAGTATAGCTAATGGAGCTGGATTGGTTACTAGAGGTTACAGGATAAACCAGTAATCTACATTATTGTTCCCACGATCCATCAATATGCTACAAAACAAGATTACTAATTCAAGACAAAGCAGCATTTCATTGCATTTTCTACTTGACGGAGTTCCTGGTCGACTACTATATAAGCTTGCTAACAGTCCCCCAAAATGTTGTTTGGAAATGGTGGTTCTTTATCAAAAAATATAAAATACATCATTTTCTGATACAGAAGAACTGATTCATCTGGTATCCAGCATAGATAGATCGCTATGTAATACTAGGAGGCAGTGTTGTAGCGAGTGTTTGTCCCCGGATGTCACATCTTCTGAGACTGGCTCTTACACATGGTCAGGATCTGTTTTAGCACTTTCTGTACGTCTTCATCCATTTGGCCCTGAGTGGATAAAACAGGAGAAGCTATGGTAAAGCAAAGATGAGTGATAAATGTTCTATTCATGCAACACCCACCTTGCTCCACGCTATCAGGACCTGCCCCCCTAGTGCTAAGCCTTACTCTTTAAAACCATGGCATCAGACCATACCTAGGTGGATGACATCACTGTTGCCCAACCATGTGACAGTGTTGTGCCTGACAACTGGCTGCTCCGGTGCAATCACTGTGTCGCATGTTGATGATCACGTGTCCCTCCTTAACTAGAAGTCCCAATCCATTAAAGCAAGCCTAGGAGGTGGTGAGGGATCACAGATCGGTGAGTATTCCTTGCTGCAGAGGGGTTATATCACAAAATGCTGTCACTTTGGCCTGAATGAATATCTGACAGTATCTCCATAACCTCTAAACACAACGTGCCTTATCTCATGATAGGTAAGGCCCTGCATTCACTCCCTTGAGCAGGTACTGTATTCTTGCAAATCTGTCCAAAGACATGAGAAAGCATTCCCCCAATCCACAATTCCACCCATAAAGGATTACAATCTCATGTCTCTGTTGGCAAGCAGATGCCTTTTAGATGATGATTATTAAAGTAATGTTTCTGAACTAGGGTGCCACGGCACCTTAGGGTACTGTTTGAGTGCCCCCAAGGTGCTGTGAGCATGGGACCCAATTTACCCTGGATCAACATTACGAGTTGCCATGGTGCCGGCAGGCTGGCCGCCGACACCATAACGACCAATGACGCTCTAGGTCCAGGATGTACGGACATCATGCGCATGTGATGGGGGGAACTCTGGTGTGATAGGGGAACCTCTGATGGGAAGGTAAACTTCACCAAGGCGGCTGTGTGCATTGTCCCAGGCTCAGGTTTGCCACTGAAAAGTAACATTTATGTTCTATACATTTTAGACTGAGGTACCAGGGGATTTTCTATACTTTTAAAGGGTGCAACAGCTCAAAAATGGTTGAGAAACACCGTTGTAGAGGAGACATCTGTTGGACAGAATAAAGAACCCAATCTATAATATTGTCCCTCCATGTAAGCTGTAGCTGATTTTGCCACTTTACATTGACATAACTTACCAGAGCAGACCTTGTAATTTTATGAGAATAGCAGCAACCATTTGAAGTTTCTCACACAGACATATTTTACAGATACCCAATATTCCCAAGTCCTTACCTGAACTGCATACAGCAAGTGCATTCTGTAAACGGACACAATCTCTTGGTGTTGTTTTCTTGGTCTCCTGCAGCAAAATAAAAATGAATGAATACATAAGTATATTATTTTGTATATATTTTACTATATAAAAGCTAGTGTGTGAGTTTGCAGCTAAATAGTGCTGGACTGGGTCTAGACACAGTTGGGGTTATTTACTAAAACTGCATCCAGGTTTCATTGTAAAAGTTTAATTCAACAAGCTGAAGTTAGAAGCTGATTGGCTAACATGCACAGGTGTGCCAGATTGTTAGTGCACCAGCTTTAGTAAATCTCCCCCATTGCCCACATTTATATATTTTATGTAACCCAAAAAATTAAAAAAAATCATAAATGCTGCAGAAGACATTTATAAAGCCAGTCGTTCACTGCTGGGACTGCACACATTAGCTGCACATTCAGCATCTTGCAAATGTGAACTTTGGCTGAAAATTCATTGACTGTTATTTGACTTCTCCATCCATTCATGATATAATAAAACGAATCTGCAGGCTGAATGCTTTCAAAGGGGTTAAAAATGATTACCAACTTCAATCTGCATTTTACCAGTCTACGGTTATCTTTTCTACAACCAGTAAGCTCCCCAGCATGTTATCCTATGTGTCCTTGCACACATAGACTGTAATCAGTGTTTTTTGGCAGGGGTGTTTTTTGGATGGAAAAAAAACCCAGAACTAGTGGGGGTCTTGAGGAATTTTTTAGCTTTAAAAATGCTCTAATGCTGAAAAACACGGCAAAACACTGTAAAATGCGGTAAAGCATTTTTGGACGTATTTTGAGCAATAAAAATAATTTTTTTTTTTAAAAAGCGCAAACGTGCAAAAAACACAGGTAATCGCTAATGAAAAAATGCTAAAAAACACTGAAAAACTCAAGTTTTTAACATGACTTTATATAGCTAACGTTACCAACATTATTAAAAGCCCAGTGTGCATGGAGCCTAAAGCCTGGAATACAAATCACAGTGCAACAGTCTTGTTTACTAAGGAGCAACAAAATTAGCAGCTAACTCAGTGTCATATTAAGTATTTGGAGTAGAGCTGCTAGTGGAGCCCAAATTTGGATGTCACAGAACACTGAGTGGCTGTTCAATAACTTAGTAGCACAAATTGCTAATCAGCCAATCATATGGCAACAACTCAATACATTTAGGTATCTAGACGTGGTGAAGTTCAAACTGAGCATCAGAATGGGGAAGAAAGGAGATTTAAGTGATTTGAATGTGGCATGGTTGTTGGTGCCAGATGGGCTTGTCTGAATATTTCAAGAACTGCTTGTCTGCTGGGATTTTCACACACAACCATCTTTAGGGTTTACAGAGAATGGTCCAAGAAAATATCCAGGTAGTGGCAGTTGTGTGGATGAAAATGACTTGTTGATATCAGAGGTCAGAGGAGAATGGGCAGACTTGTTGATGCGACATTCAGATGGTAGGGTCAGAATTTTGCGTAAACAACATAAAAGCATGAACTTAATAATTACAATAGTGTGGCGCTCTAAGAAAATACACCAATAATAAATAAATATATATATAAATGAAAAAAATACATATGTGACCAAATAAATATAAATGTATATAAATGTGACAAATTCATATAATAAAATCCATGAAACAATCCCAAATAAATAATATAAAATAAATAACAGTGTATAATAAATCCTGTATCAAATAGACCTCAAGTGATTACTTAAATAATTAATTAATCTAGTGTCTAGGATCAATGATCAAAGTCATGCTTGTACATAAAAATAAAATTGGTTCGCGAGTCCGAAGTTTCCGGTGCGTGGTGACGCACTTCCGGCGTGCGACGCCATCTTGCTTCACCTAGGAAGTCCCATTCGCATGTAGTATACCCACACATCGGTGAGGAGGGTGGACTGCGATACAATGTGAGTGTTGCTACTCTATAATTTCAATAAAAGGAGTCATTAATACTGCACTTAGAGGGCATTCTCTTTTTTGGCTCACTGGACTGGTGAGTCATTGTTCTTCAGAGACACCTTGGCTTAATTAGTGAAACAGGAGTCTCATAAAGGAATCTAATGAAGGAGGAAAGATGCTGACCTATTTGGAATTAGGGATCCAGGGTGATCCTGCAAGCCTGCTGGCCCCTAGGGGTCACCGGGAGGAGGTGAGGAGGCAATTTAGCCACCTGTAGGAGAAGAGTTTGGCACCAACCACGAATTTTCATCACCACACATAGCATGGTTATTTTTTCACCTGATGGACTGTGTTTTTTCATTGATTATTTAATAAGTTTGATGATATGTTTTTTGCACTTATTTTGACACTTTAGCACTTTTTTCACTTTGCATATGGTGCAATATTACTTGGTCACTTTATTTTTATGTACAAGCATGACTTTGATCATTGATCCTAGACACTAGATTAATTAATTATTTAAGTGATCACTTGAGGTCTATTTGATACAGGATTTATTATACACTGTTATTTATTTTATATTATTTATTTGGGATTGTTTCATGGATTTTATTATATGAATTTGTCACATTTATATACATTTATATTTATTTGGTCACATATGTATTTTTTTCATTTATATATATATTTATTTATTATTGGTGTATTTTCTTAGAGCGCCACACTATTGTAATTATTAAGTTCACACTGTATGAGGTATCAGCAGAGGAGTGTTGGCAGCTTAAAGTTGGTCGTTTTACCATTTGTAGCGCAGGAGGATTTTTGACTATTACTAAACATAAAAGCATGGATCCATCCTGCCTTGTATCAACTGTTCAGGCTGGTGGTGTAATGGTGTGGGGAGATATTTTCTTGGCACTAGCAAGGCGTACCTAATACAGTGGCCGGTGTGTATATGTTCAGTTTTCTTGAGATCACTGCAAATTGATTTAAGATGAACAGTTCCAGGCAATTGTAGATCTCTTCAAGATCTGATCATTAAATTCTGAGATCAAGTGCCAAGCATTACAGAACCCTCTTAGTAAAGTAATCCTATTTACTGACAATTTAAAAAAAAAAAGTATAAAACCTCTGTGGCCACAATGCATAGAGATGTTATGCTTGTCATCTCTATATATGGACTTTGCTCATAGCTGTTATTTTTTATGTATTATTAATGAGAACTGAAGAAGGAATAATGAAAAAAGCCACCAGAAGTTGGTCAGCCGTACTGAAGGTTTAGGCATGCAGACATGACGTCAGGAATCCAGAACTATAAAAGGAGACCAACAATTATGTTGCACCTAATATATTCTGATTAATCTAAATAGACTGAAATCAACACTCTGTATTTATGTTCCGTTACAAGAAATTGGAAAATTATTGGTCATGAAAGTTGGCTTCCTCCATGAAGGGGCTGAAAAAACAGATGGTTTAAAAGGAGAATTCAATTTTTAAAGTAAACCTGTCACAAGCCTGTGCATGCATGCATGACCAGAGGATACCTTTAGGAGCTTATAGCTGGTACCTATAAGTATATTTATGTGCTTTTGCACTCTTGGAATCTCAAAACCAAACAGAAGCTGCACTGCTGATGTTGGTGCTACTCCCACCCCCTGCCAGGAAAGGGACAACACGGAGGCAGAAGAGGGGTGGAAAGTGCACAGTGATGGTGGGAGTTTCTTCCACCGTTTGGCCATCCAACTGCCTCTTGTGCTCTGCTGGACTAGTTTGTCATTAAAATGCTTTGCACCAGAAACATAATTGTAGTACCTTTATAAAGGGGGCAACTTGCAGAATAACATTTGCACGTCGGCTTAGTTATAAACTTCTTTAGTTCCCAGATAATTTACCACATTTCAACAACCCCCTTCTAGTTTTCTATTGACCTAAAGCTGACAACCCTAGGGCCATTTCTGCACTCTGCAAAACCAATCCCTGTGTGTGTAAGCATGATCTTTCTCAACGGGGGGGGGGGGGGGGGACAACACACGAACATGGAAATCTTTGCCTTAAGTGTCAATTGAGAGATTCTGCTTTTGGTATACTGAGAGTAAGGCAGACCATAGACCATGCAATTTTCTTTCCTAATTTTCGATAGATGTATGGCTGGCTTAAGGGGGTCACTCTCACTAGCGGATGAGAGACAGTAAAACCCTGTGGTTGAGCCCCATTTTTTACACACCTCTCCCTTTAACTGAGAGGCAGGGGCTGGGAGGTGTACACATGCTGTGGGGGAGATGCTTTGCAGCCGTGGCAGGATGGGACCATTCTGCAAGCACCCTGCAACTTCGTACATTACTACTGTGGGGTTCAAGGGGTAAACCAGGCAGTGAGGACATGATAAGATGCCTGCTTGCCATCTGTCAAATGCTCTGTGAACACTGATCCAAAGGCAGATCACTTTTCTGAGATCAAAGCACATGTGAATGAGCCCTAATACAAAAAGAATGTGATTCAGCCCATCAATTAAATTTTTTTGGACTGACTATAAATATATGGGAGAAATATCAGAAAATGTTGGAGTGATGTACTTACCACCAACTGGTTCTGCAACTGTTTGACCTGCTGCTGTAGTGATTCCAGTTGCTGGCTCTGTCGCTTAGGAGTGCTTGTGGTAAATGAAAGCTGTGAAAGGCTGTTCAGTGCTTCTTTCAGTTTGCTCACCTCCTTTGTCAGTTCAATAACCTGTAAGGTCATATGTGTATTGATTAGTAGCACATTCATTAATGAGTTCAATGTTTAATTAGGACTTGAGCCCTTCAATATGTTTGTCCGTGTCGATCTGTAGGAATCTCTCCTTTCAGAAGTCCTGATATTCAACTGACCCTTTCGATACAAAGCAGCTCTAGTGCTACTACAGTGCTCTGAGCTGCTCTGCTCTTTCTGAGCAATACAGCTGAGCGTCAGAAGTACGTATGGGTGTCAAACTGGCGGCCCTCCAGCTGCTGCCAAACTACAAGTCTCATTAGGCTATGCAAGATTGACAGTTACAAGCATGACTCCCAAGGGCAGAAGCATGACGGGACTTGTAGTTTTGCCAGTTTGACACCCCTGCTCTTAGATTGTAAGCTCTAACGAGCAGGGCCCTCTGATTCCTTTTGTACCAAATTGTATTGTAACTGCGATGTCTGCCTTCATTTTGTAAAGCGCTGAGCAAACTGTTGGTGCTATATAAATCCTGTATAATAATAATAATAATACATTGTTGATGTTTCCCATTCTGTATATAAACTGCCAAAAGTTTGCCTGCTCCAAAATGGCAAAGACGAGGATACAGTCATTGCCAAAAAAAGTGTTTTAGCGGGTAGTATGTGCAGGAGAGGAGTGCAGAGGGTATGACAATGGGCAGTATATGCAGGAATAGAGTGCAGAGGGTATGACAATGGGCAATGTGTGCAGGAGTGGAGTGCAGAGAGTATGACAACGGGTGGTATGTGCAGGAGTGGAGTGCAGAGGGTATGACAGTGAGCAGAATGTAATAGAGAGAAGTTTGGAGGGTATGACAATGGGCAGTATGTGCAGGAGTGGAGTGCAGAGGGTATGATAGTGAGCAGAATGTAAAGGAGAGACGTTTGGAGGGTATGAAAATGGGCAGCATGTGAAGGAGTAGAGTGCAGAGGGTATGACAGTGAGCAGAATGGAAAGGAGAGAAGTTTGGAGGGCATGACAATGGGCAGTTTGTGCAGGAGTGCAGTGCAGAGGGCATGATAGTGAGTAGAATGTAAAGGAGATAAGTTTGGAGGGTATGACAATGGGCAGTATGTGCAGGAGAGGAGTGCAGAGGGTATGACAATGGGCAGTAAATGCAGGAATAGAGTGCAGAGGGTATGACAGTGGTCAGTATGTGCAGGAATGGAGAGCAGAGGGTATGACAACGGGCAGTATGTGCAGGAGTGGAGTGCAGAGGGAATGACAATGAGCAGAATGTAAAGGAGAGACGTTTGGAGGGTATGACAAGGGAAATATATACACAAACATATGACAAGGGAGAAAACTTGCAGAAGGGAAGTTTTGAGGGTATGACAGTGGGCAGCATGTGTAGGAGAGTGGAAAGGTATAGTTGTGTTCAAAATAATAGCAGTCAGACATCACTAACCTGATCAATCACTGTTTTTGGTAGAAATGATATTTCTATATGGCAAATAATTTACTAGCAGGTGTAGTAGAGTAATAGAAATCCAAACGACCCAACAGTCATGACATGCATGCTGCTGATTCTGTGTAATTGAATCACTAATTGAAAGAGGCATGTTCAAAATAATAGCAGTGTGGAGTTCTATTAGTGAGGTCATTCATTCTTTGAAAAACAGGTGGCAATTATTGCCCTTATTTAAGGAAGGAAGGCAGCAAATGTTGTACATGCTGGTTACAGTGCATTTCTCTCTGAAATTCTGAGGAAAATGGGTCGTTCCAGACATTGTTCAGAACAGCGTACCTTGATTAAAAAGTTGATTGGAGAGGGGAAAAACATATAAAGAAGTGCAGAAAATGATAGGCTGCTCAGGTAAAATGATCGCAAATGCTTTAAAATGGCAACCAAAACCTGAAAGGTGTGGAAGAAAGCAAAAAACTACCATTCGAATGGATAGAAGAATAGCCAAAATGGCAAGGACTCAGCCAACAATCAGCTCCAGGAAGATCAAAGAAGGTGTAAAGTTCCCTGTGAGTACTGTTACAATTAGAAGACACCTATGTGAAGCCAAGCTATCTGCAAGAAGCCCCCGCAAAGTCCCAGTGTTGAAAAAAAAGACATGTGCTGAAGAGGTTACAATTTGCCAAAGAGCACACTGACTGGCCTAAAGAGAAATGGCGCAACATTTTGTGGACTGATGAAAGTAAGATTGTTCTTTTTGGGTCTAGTGGCCGGAGACAGTTTGTCAGACGACCCCCAAACACTGAATTCAAGCCACAGTACACTGTGAAGACAGTGAAGCATGGTGGTGCAAGCATCATGATATGGGGATGTTTCTCATACTACGGTGTTGGGCCTATTTCTCGCATACCAGGGATCATGGATCAGGTTGAATACATCAGAATACTTGAAGAGGTCATGCTGCCTTATGCTGAAGAGGAAATGCCCTTGAAATGGGTGTCCAACAAGACAACGACCCCAAACACACCAGTAAACGTGCAACATCTTGGTTCCAGACCAACAAGATTGACGTTATGGAGTGGCCAGCCCAATCCCCGGATCTTAATCCAATAGAAAACTTGTGGAGTGACATCAAAAATGCAGTTTCTGAGGCAAAACCAAGAAATAGAGAAGAACTGTGGAATGTAGTTCAATCATCCTGGGCTGGAATACCTGTTCACAGGTGCCAGAAGTTGGTTGACTCCATGCAACACAGATGTACAGCAGTTCTCAGAAACAGTGCTTATACAACCAAATATTCATTAAGTGATTCAAAGGAAAGCAAAATCTTCAAACATTTTTCAGTTTATATAGTGAATGTTTGAGTTTGTAAAGAAGAATACAAACACTGCTATTTTTTTTGAACAGTCTAATATTCACTTTTCTCAATGTTTTTTAGAGAAACAACACAAATTTGATATATTTTTCTTCATGTTTTGATTTGGAATAGAATGTGTAGTGTTCCCAATGCATTTGTGTGTATGGAAATAAAAGCCATTAGAAGGATTTTGAGCTTTATTTACTTTTTTCAACACACTGCTATTATTTTGAACACAACTGTAATAACAACTGGAAGAACAGTTAATCTTTTGATTCACAAATGGCAGATGATCACTGCATAATAAGTAACAAAATAACTAAAATATATGGTTACAGCCAAATGGGTAAATGACTAGGGTGTAGAATTGTGTCCCAGAATGCATTTGGAGGAACATTTACCTGCTGGCATGGATACCTGGTAAAAACGCATGTGTATACTGGGGGCAGGATACATGGGAGAGACCAGTGTGGTTTCTAACACAGAGGGCTCATTCTCACTAGCCTGCATGGTAGAATACAGCCTTTTACTGTTTGGGCAACTGTCAGTGTGAGGTCCAGTAAGGGGTTATGCATTGCACCGTTTACTTTTTTACAGAGGAAAGACCAATGTGTGTGTGCTGGAGGAGGGATAAAGGGGAAAGACCAATGTGTGTGCTGGAGGAGGGATACAGGGGAAAGACCAATGTGTGTGTGCTGGGGGAGGGATACAGGAGAAAGACTAATGTGTGTGCGCTGGAGGAGGGATACAGGGGAAAGACCAATGTGTGTGTGCTGGAGGAGGGATACAGGGGAAAGACCAATGTGTGTGTGCTGGAGGAGGGATACAGGGGAAAGACCAATGTGTGTGCGCTGGAGGAGGGATACAGGAGAAAGACCAATGTGTGTGTGCTGGAGGAGGGATACAGGGGAAAGACCAATGTGTGTGCGCTGGAGGAGGGATACAGGGGAAAGACCAATGTGTGTGTGCTGGAGGGGGGATACAGGGGAAAGACCAATGTGTGTGCTGGAGGAGGGATACAGGGGAAAGACCAATGTGTGTGCGCTGGAGGGATACAGGGGAAAGACCAATGTGTGTGTGATGGAGGAAAGATACAGGGGAAAGACCAATGTGTGTGCTGAAGGAGGGATACAGGAGAAAGACAAATGTGTATGTGCTGGAGGGAGGACACAGGGGAAAGACCAATGTGTGTGTGCTGGAGGGGGGACACAGGGAAAAGACCAATGTGTGTGTGCTGGAGGAGGGATACAGGAGAAAGACCAATATGTGTGCGCTGGAGGAGGGATACAGGGGAAAGACCAATATGTGTGCGCTGGAGGAGGGATACAGGGGAAAGACCAATGTGTGTGTGCTGGAGGAGGGATACAGGGGAAAGACCAATGTTTGGGCTGGAGGAGGGATACAGGGGAAAGACCAATGTGTGTGCTGGAGGAGGGATACAGGGGAAAGACCAATGTGTGTGTGCTGGAGGAGGATATAGAGGAAAGTCCAATGTGTGTGCTGTAGGATTTAACTTCCTCCCATCCCCTTGAGTGGATACTTACCTTCAGTGTGGCACCCAAGTTCTTCTTCATGCAGGCTTTGCAGAAAGAAGAGCCAACGGCTTTCAGCTCCTTTTTTATACACTCACTGCTCAGCTCTTTCATTTTTATGGCTGCGTGTTATTCGCCTGGATGAACCACCATATAAATGAATGCGAATGCAGACACAACAGAAAGAGAAAGGAAATATGTCTAGCATGAAGGAAATCCTTTCTTGTTTCATGCCTTTGTACTTTTGCACAAAAAATGCACGTCATAAAAAACAATAAATCCAATGAGCCCATTCACATCTGTGGATTGGTAAAAAAGAGGCATGTCTGATTTCCTGAATATTTTCATAAGGTGTGATGTCCAATAGAATAATGAAAACGTGTATAATGCACTACAACACATGTTAAAAATATCCTTAAAAAATGGACAGAGGCAGACACAGATAGTCATAAACTCAAAAAGTAGCCACCAGGACATTGTATTCTGACAGTGGGACTCACTGATGTCAGAATACACTGATCAGTGGCTGCAGACATGTAGACTGGTGGCTGTAGATTAGCACAGACACTTCTGATGATATTGACTTTGAAAAATAAGCACCATGGCTATAGGTGGGTCAGCTATATTTCTGTTTTAGATACCTGTAGAGGTGCATACAAATAAATTAGGATTTGGGTCACACTGTGTGCAGTGACCTGTGTTT